CCTGACAGAACAAAAGGAATCGGAAGGGGCTTTGATGGATGCTCCCTGATGTAGGACGGGCTTTTGCCATCGCCTTTGGTGGGGTTGCTTGTTTTTCAGTTTTCCTGTTGGGGGTGACAGACCTTAGAGGTTCCCTTAGTACAGCTTGTCCAAAGAGGGTCGATCCCTCCTGGTGTTTTTTGTTTTCCTCTGTGTAGTTGGTTTAGTGGTTGGATTTCCGTATTTAACTCACAAGCTGAACTTTTAACAGGGGATCTTTAGGGTTTAGTTTGGGTTTCCGTTTAACCCACTAAAATAAAATTAAACCTTTTGCAAGGATCAGAACGCGGGCACCCACCATTGAGGTGATGGACAAGTTGCTTGTTGACACTTTGGGTCCGGAAGATTGTGGTTGGAAGGGATGGACCCGTTAAGAGGAGAATTAGACAATAACAACTAAAAATGATAATGTTAAGGATAATTACTAGTTATCAGATGAGTGAGTATGGGTCAACATTTAACCAACAGAGGACCGCAGGTGCCAGTCCATGTTTCCATTTGCCAGGGTTCCATTTTGGGTACCTATTTTTGACCCGCAGCCAAGCGATGGGTATAATGTTATGGACCGGAATCCTTCTGGCTGTGGCAACAGCGAAATGCGTGCCAACAAAGGTTCCCTTTCATCCAGCTGCTTCAGCGGCGCCTTGGTTACTGTTTGGTGCTCTCGGGCCGAATGGTGAACTCCAAAACGTATGCAATATGCAAAGGGTTCCCACGGTATCATTGCTATCCAACCAAAAAGACATCTTCAAGGGCCCCCTTTTTTTCGAGGGCCGAAATCTAGAAAACACACAGAAGTTGCACTCGCTGTCTTATTCACCACGGCGCCGCCAGACCTATGGTGAACGCTCCTTCAGGCGCTGGCAGGCTGGCAGTTGGAACTTCTTGGTCGCAGTTGACCCCGAACTCCAAATGGTTTGCTATTCCCAAGGGCCCAAGCCCGTTGATTCCGTGAGAAACCAGAGCAGGATTACAGGTCGGCGTCTTGCGTTTTTCGGGGCCAAGGCAACAAAGGACGATTTTGTTCATAAGCCCGCCCCGCCATATGTTTGATGTGTTTCTCTCGGACTTTCTTGGACTCTCAAATCCGTCAAGGAACGGGCCCATGGAAATCCACAGGGGGTCTGCGGGAACCTCAATCCAGCGGAGAACGGGTGAATTATGTCTTCTCTTCGGAAAGAGGGTACCTTAAGCTCAGAAAGCTATTTGCAGGTGTCAACAAAAACAGGTTGTTTGGGGGGGGGGGGGGCAAGTTTCGATGTTGAACTTGGAGCTCAAGTGTTTTTCTCCGGAACCAGTCTAGTCGGGCCACACGAGGAGTGGTCAGTGGATTGTTCCCTCGAAAGATCTCATTCAGTTCGTCAAAACCTCTTTCTCTTGACCTTTTGGTTTCCAGCCGTCCGGTTCGGTACCCTCCCTCCCAAAACATGGCAACGGGCACAGGGTACCCCCAAGAGGAAAATCATCTCTGCCAGGTACCCTCCCACAGGTGCGAACTGTGACCTGTCTGTTGGAGCCACCTCGATTTTGACCAAAAAAATAGGGTATGACTAGAAACAGTTTAACAAAATTAGGGTCTGACTAAAATCGAAACATAATCAGAAGATCTTTGAGTTCTAAGGTACAGGCCTACGGGTCCCCTTCCACCGGGCGGGCGGTCGGGTCCTTTTGCCCGAAGGTCTTCCTGGCCTGGTCGGTGCGGATCTCCCGGAGGCGGTTTTTTTGGGGCTGCGGGAAGTGCCTTCAGGTGTCTTTAAAGACTTTAAAGAGCAGATAGCAACAGGAAAGCCCACGTTTTTTTTTGAGGTGCCCCTATCTTGACACGTGCCCATGCTTTGCAAACTGCCCAAGAGCACTCAAGTGATGAGCCAACGGCTTGGACTTTGGATTATCACAGGACGGTGTCTATTCTGGTGTCCTTTGAAAGCCCATCTTTGCCCAATGAACACGAATTTAAACTCAATACGAGCAACCAAACTGTTGGACACATCCAAGCAGGCACCCTCAACAAGAACACAGCCCGTGTGAGCAATGGTCAATGTTCCCCGTAATCTTCTGTAGTGAAGAGGGTGTGATTCACAACAGTCACCAAATGACCATTCCAAAACAACGGTGTTTACTCACCAAAATCCATTGTGGCTCGAGAGCCCAATACAGACTGTGGACAACATCCTGCCGTTTTAGGCAACTGGTGCCCGGATCCTGTCCAAACAAAGCCAATGCCAGTGGCATTCACCACCACTAAAAACCAAGACAAATGGGTTCTTGGAGCTTCCAGAACCCCCAAGATATGCGCCGCAGGTTTTAGTATTTTATAGTCCTTGTTTCCATTTACCAGTTGGCCACCCATGTTGGTGTGACAAACTGGTTTTTGACCGCCCAATTGGTGGCCATAGGTGTCCTTTTTGGTTGCTTTGGTTTAAAAATCGAGGGCGATTCCTGGTTTACCAATCGGTGGTTCAATCCACCAGGGCCATCCGAATTTAGACTCAGGGGCGGCAGCACCGTGCAGTTTATCACCGCCACCAAGAGCGGCCAGGCGGCTTTTTTTGCGTCGAGGGAAAAAAGCGACGAGGGATCTGCACCATCGGCGGTTTTGTGAGTGTTTTTGGGGGTTAAATTGGTGAAGATTGGGGGTTAAAGTCAGAAACTGGTGGGTGGTGTCCCTTTAAGCTCCCACTTAGGGGGGTGACTTTGATAGTGGTGAAATAATGGGGCCAGATCTGGTTCGAAACGGGGCTCCCTCTTTACACCCCTCCAAACTTGCGCCTTTGTTCCCTTAACCCTTCCTTTTTGTAAACCCTCAAACCTTCGAAATGGTTTACACTTGGTTCAAGCAAGGTGGTTGCGAATCAATATTCAAAGCGTAATTCAATCCGAAACCGCAAACATGTGTTTTTTGGGGAACGCAACCATGAGGTCAGCAAAGATGTCACTGATGTTCCAACCCCTGGCGGGATCAATCGTCGCCCCCAGGCCATTGAGCACATCGATTCGTCAGAATTGGGTGGTGTTCAGACGCCGATTTTGAATATCCATTTGGGTCAAAATGAAACCGGGGGACTGCGGGTTTTAGTCCATGGTTCCACAAAGCAGTTCAATCTTGGGTACCTTCTTTTGACCCACTGCTACTAGAATCTTGCTGAATGAGCTTGGAAATTCCATTTGGCTAACTGCTGCTGTGTTGATGCTGCTTTTTGCAGAGTGGGAATTGAGTTTCCACTAGGTTGAGCATTGTTGGTGCGGTTTGAGTACTCGTTTGATTTGGTACGTCCTGAAGCGTTGCGTATTTTGTTGAAGAGGAATATGTTATATTGTTGGTTGAATAACTTAAACCTTGTATATTGTTGGTCCACACGCACCACCCTTCTGAGAATCACCCTGGGCAAAGTTTTGTCAGCAACTATGTAGCACGATTTGAGCTTGGGAGTTGTGTGTGTGTGTGTGTTTTCAGACGATTGCTAGTTGGCCTATCTCTTGAGCAAAGGTGGGCCAATGGGAGTTAGAGTTCACGTTTTTTTTGGCCTGAGACAGTGTTTGTATTCAGGGAGCCTTCTAAGCAATCCTTCATTTTGGTCTTCTACTGAACAATGTACGAGCCCAAACATCAAAGGAGGTTCGGCTGCCTTGACTTCGCCCTATTTTCCATCCGTTCCCATGTTTTTGTTCATCCGTATTTGCATTGTTTGGGTGTGTATTTCCGGTGTCGTGTTTCTGTGAGGTACATTATTTTGCGTGGCAAATTCATCAACCCCCTTTTCTGTGGGTTCAAGGAACAAGGGCAGCAACTCTAGCTTTTGCCAGAAACCGTCAAACTCCGGCAGTAGACATTTGCACTTGTTTGTTTTGGTGGGGTCCACCCCATCAACCCCAAAAAGGGTCACCTTTTTAGAAACCAGCGAGCCAAGAGATTCTTCAGCAAATTCCTGCTTTTGGTGGGTGTTTGTGCAAATTTCCTGCGGAAATTCCTGCAGCTAGTCTCTACAAGGAAAGCCCCCCAAAGCACCAAGGCAACCAAGCAAAAGGAAGCGGTTGCTGTTGGTTGATTAGGATTGAAAATCCTAAATCCCCTGGTACCAGGAAAGCCAGAAGGGAACCTGGTGACTTTTGAAGACCTAGATGGACCTAGATTCCCCGGCCTTTGTAAAGCAAGCCTGAGCCAAAGTGGCCAAGAACACGCATTTTTGGGGTTGGACCCGAGGGTTCGCCCCGTCCAGGAAGCCGCCCGGATCGCGGCCCAGAACCGGCTGGCCCCGGGCATGTTTCAGCTGCCGGAGCCCACGCCCCGCGGCTTCAGAGTGGGGTTGGTTCAGTCAGGGAACAGGGCCGTTCCCCAAGTAGGGCCCCCCCTTTGCGGAGAACGGGGAACCAAAATTAAACCTGGAGGATCTGTGGCGTTAATATCTGTTACAACGAATTGTTGCAACCAAGGGAGGATTGGCCGAAGCCTGGCAGGGAATGAGTTGGAATTACCCCAAACAGAACAATCTAGCTAGTGGTTTTCTTTAAGGGAATGCCTAGAACCATTCACAAAACCCCTGCTGAGAAGAAAGAAATTGGGGAGCTTCTGGGATCTGAGTTCGCAGGCGATCTCGCGGTCTGGCGATCGGCGTCTCTTTAGTTTAGTGAAGGATGAGGCTGTGAATGTTATTAAAAAAAGAAACACCCTCAAAAGTGGTGGAGACACATCTCCATGTGAATGATGTCAGGGTCCCAATTATGATTCATCCCTGAGACTCGTAAATCAAAAAACACCCAAGCCAGGGCACTTTGGAGACATCCTTACACTCTGTACCCTGCTTCGAAAGGTTCAGGATTTCCGATATTTCGCCTGGTGGTTTTGAATGTCTCCTTTTGGTTGCCAACAAGTGGGCTTCCTTTTGGTAGATGCTATGTTAGGTTGGAGAAGCTCCGCCTTTCAATGGTAAGGGGCCCTGGTTGTGACTCCAGGCGTGCGGTCATTTGACACTCTTTGAGGTTGGGACCCTTGTCGCCTTAGTTTGAAGGGAACCAAAAGTCAACCTACTTGACACATACCCCAAATAGTACATTACCACGGTCCACCAGATGTTGCATTTCCACTTCCCAGGCGACCTTGGACCCACTTTTGGACATGACGACATGACGCACCCAAATGCCTGTGCACCCAAATGCCTGTGCACGTGTTTTTGAGCTAAGCCCAGTTGACATACCCCCGCCTTTTCTCAAACATGGAATTAGGGGAAGAGGATGACCCCGAAATTCCATTTCTGGTTCCATGTTCCCTTGCGAGGAAGACTAAGCAAAATGGAATTGGTGCCTCTAATAGAATCAGGGGATCTCAAGTTCAGCATGCCTTCAATCGTGGGCGTCAATGGGGCGCATGGCCATGGGCATTGTTTCGGCGTTTTTGATAGGTCCTCACATATTGAAGTTCACATTGTAGATCTGGACCAGAACCAACAATATGAGTTCTTGGAAGTTTGGAAGGCGGGCAGGGCGGTAGCTCGATGGCAAACCCTGATTTACACAAGTTGTTGACATGTGCTTGCTATGCTCCACATAAAAGGGGGCCAACACCGGCGAATTTGGTAGTTTGGAATCGATATGTGATATGTGCATGTGCGCGCGTGTGCGCGTCAAAGTAGGAATCGCGTGTTCGACCTGCCTGCGGCGAGTTTGGGGATTTCTTTGCTCAAAGCACAGCTCTTTCTTTGCTAGAAGAGCTGAGTACCCTGGTTTGGGCTCAGGTGGTCAGTGAACGAGAGATCAGTCGATTAAGCAATGCTGGCTGCTTCGGGTGTTTCCACCAAGCGACGAGGGGTTGTTCGCTGCTTCTTACGCGGAGGTCGCTGCCGTCAAGGTGATCCGGAGGCTTGGCGCTTTGGCAGTTGGGGCAGCTCTGGTACTTTTTATGATTGATTTTAGGTTGTATGGATGTTGATGGATTCTTTATGCCTGATATGTGTACTAAGATTGAACGTGTTGCTTTTCAATATTCAATAGTTGTTACTCGAAACGCCAGAGTGGCAAGTAGCCGCTGGACTGCCCTCATTTCCATGACAGAGCGGTCCGGCTCCGGTTTCACAACTTTGTCGGATCAATGTCTTCGTTTGCGAAGCGGAAAACGGCACGTTGGTGCCAGGGAGGTTTTGCGCTTCTGCTATGCGCAGAGCCGGATGTGAATCTACACCGGCAAGGGGGTGGCCTTCTTCTCAAGATCTAGGGCTTGCCAGAAAGGACTGCCCCACGTTGGAGGGGACTCCAGTTAGCCTCAATCTGCTTGCCTTGATCCCTGCCACCTCGGGGCCAAACCAACTTTTGCCAAGTTTTGTCAACGAGCGTCCAGAAGCGAGTGTTCAGATTCTGCTGGATGCGCAGATCAAGGGAACTGGGGGCAGGTCGTTGGCTCACCTCAAACCTGCATCAAGATGACAGAGAACCTTTGATTGACATTGACTTTCCACAACCTGCCCGCGAATATCCCCATCAGACCGGGCATGGCTCGCAATTCAAGGATGATTGACAGTGCTGCACCGAGAATCCCACAGACTAAACGCGCTCGGAAAAATAAGGAGGCTGGAGATTGATTCTCGAAGATAATTTTACTTTTTAGGCATTTAAAATGAAGGTGGTTGCCGGAGAAAATATGTGCTTTTTTTCTCCGAGGAAACCGACTGCCAACTCACACAAGCACACCCGCAGGAGCGCACTTGCATGAGCAAGCTCGCACGAGCGACCGTGCACGAGCACACCATACACAGGCACACTTGCACGAGCAACTCGCGCGAGCACGCACACTGCGCGATCATACTTGCACTGCAGGAGCAACTCGAACGAGCACGCTTGCCCGAGCAGACTTGCACGAGCACCTCGCACGAGCACGCCTGCGCTTGCACAGTTGCACGAGCACAACTTGCACGTGCTCGCATGAGCAGACTTGCACGAACACACTTGTGCGAGCAAATTCGCACAAGCGCACTTGCCCGAGCAAACTTAAGCACACTTGCACTAGCAAGCTTGTACTTGCACGAGCAAGCTTGTACGAGCATACTTTTGCAAACGCACTTGCACGAGCAATTTCGCATGCGCGCTTGCGACAGTGAACTCGCTCGAGCACACTTGCACGAACAAGTTCGCTCGAGCACACTTGCACGACCACACCTGCATGAGCAAACTCGTAAGAGCGTCCTTGCGCGAGCACACTTGCACGAGCACGCTCGCGCAAGCATACCTGCACGAGCAATTTCGCGCCAGCATACTTGCGCGAGCAACTCCCGCGAATACACTTGCATGAGAGAAGTTGAACAATGTTTTTGGTTGAGGCGGCGTGGAGGGACCGAACCCGCTCCGCAAAATTGGCGCCCTCTACGCAGATCTGCGTGGTCGATGTCCAAAAACTGAGTATATGTTTGTTGAACTTTTGGTCGGCAGACTCTTTGCATACTTTAAATGAATTGAAGAGCTGAGAAATTGAGAAACGTTTCTCTTACGACTTTTGTTGCATACGCTTGCTGCTTTCCATCTCATGCAGAGTAATACCAGTTTCAACAAAATGCAATACGTGTACCGCAAGTTGCCGAACTACCCCCCGGTCCTGCTTTTGACCTTGTTCGGATTTATTTCCTGATCGGATGAAACATTGTTTGGAGTTATTGTTGAGAACTGACAAAATATGGATTTGTATCCAAAACTTGTCCAAATCAAAGTGGTTTTGGACACGGAGCTAACTCTCGGCATGTTCTTCGGCTTTTTGCCTCGCGACTCTTCTTGCCTTCGCAGGATGGTCCAGCAAGCCACCTTGTTGGCTACTATTCGCTCTAAGGTGGCGCAATGGCGCGCAATTTTGATGGAGAAACTCGACCTGAAATGGGTCCCCTTGGCATCAGTGCTCTCTCGGCTTCCTCCGAACCGATTCAGCCGCCATCCTCAGTGGCAATGATCTTCTCGGCGGTGTTCAGAAGATCCCAGCAGTCTATCTTCTCGGGGTAACTTCCCCATTCTTTCCAGGGATCCTTCCTTCTAGAAAACCACCAAAACCCCTGGGGAAATGGCTGGTGTTTGAAAAGAACGATGGCCTCAAGCTTATGCTTGCTGCGCGCACGGAAATCCATAGCTTCTCCGCAGCGGGGGCACTTGCCATCCAGCCGACGGAAGCTTGGGATGGGCCTTTTCAAGGCCTGCCTCGCAGGCATCCTTGTAGGTGTGGCACAACCCTTGGCTAATCTCAACAGCAGCCTCGGCCTCCCGTACAAGAGTTCTCAAGCTGCACCCGGACATTGAACTGCGCGGACGTGTTCTTCGCCGGCTTACTGCTTCTATTGCCGGTTCCTGGTCGCTCTTGATCACACCGGGAGAACCGCGACAAAGAGCTTGCTCAGGGTAGTAGGGATCTACTCCTTTTAAGGGTACCAAGTGAGTGAAGAGTGCTTTGGATTCTCTATCCTGCACCACGAGCACTGGCATCTTTGCTGGAAGCTCTCCTTCCGAAGCATCCGTCCATGGAGACCACTGGCATTGCTCCTTTGTGCGAGAGATGATCTTGCGATGGGAGTAGCTGAAAAAACTCTCACAATGGGATGTGGCTCACTGCGTAAGCCTTAACCTTATCAGGGCTCGGCAGGATTGGCGCCTTGAGCGGAAACTCCTCTAGCTGGCCCTTCAAGTGGGGCCAGCTCCCTCCTTCCCCGCCCCCTTATCCGAGGACTTACAGCTTTCGTAGCTCTGCCCCTCGAAAGGGCACTATCCAACCAAAAAATTCTTAGTGCTCAACAAAAGGGGAATATACATACCGTTCTTCTTGAAGATGTTGTGGACCTTGCCGCTAGCTGTCTTTAGATAGCTGACTTGATTCGCCAAGACAAGCGTTAGCACTTGGCCCGCAGAAAATAGTATGGTTGGGAGATCCGGGTTTTGATCACCTCGTTACCCATTATTTAGTTTTTTTTTTTTTTTTTAAGGATTCGTTTGTAAACCGCGTTTTTATTGGCTAGTGGTTTGTGCGTTAAGCTTAGCTTGGCACTAATTATCTCTAGTTAGAGTCGAGGAGATACGAGTCGAGTCGGCGCTTGAATTACTAGGATCGTTTGAGAAATATTTCGTTGTTGTTTTTTTGTATACGCTTACTTCGCTTCATTTTTCTCTTAGAGGGCGATTGCATAGTTTATTTTATAATGATTCTAGATGTTTTTTTCTTTTTTAATTTGCCTTTTAAGAAATTGGAGTAATTTTATTTCTTAATTAATCTAAATGGAAGAATGATATTTTTTGTTAGTTTTTGGTTGGCTTCTTAATTTTGGCTTTTTGGCATGCGAACACCACACACACACACACATCACACACCGCACGCCACACCCACCACACAGACACACAACACACACACACACATGCATACACACCTGGCATGGACATGGTTAGTCCTTTCGCTTTTAGCAGAAGGACGAGTGCATCAAAAAGGGGGAGCGATTCGTTGTTCATGCGAGCACTCAGAGGAAATCCCCCAAACCAAATCATTTGTTCACTACAAGGGGAGCCACCCCTGACGGTCCTCCGGAATCCACAGTTTCTATTCGCCACCGGGCCGCATGTTTTCGCTGGAATCGCGTAGTGATTTATTGTTGGTGCTGGCCTTTTGTTGGACAATCAATCTCTGAGACGAAGTGAGGTCTACAAGGGCTGCAAGGTGGACTACTCCGGCACCTGTGGCTGCACTGCTTGCTCCGTCGCTGTGGTCAAAAGGCCAGTGACTCATTGCAAGTGATGAATATCATGATGCTAAGTGCCAACATGAACACTTTCTCTTTGGGAGCCCTATGTTTTAACAACCCTCTCGGCCTCCACATGCAGACATGACTTATCCAGTCTCTGAGTTTGGGCCTCTCCCAGATTGGAGCCGTGCTTGTTCTGCACCACCGAGGACGTGCTTCCTTTCCCCGATTGGGTACCGAGTTTCCAGAAATAAACACCAATTGCCCGACCGTACAAGTTGACTCAATCATTTATTGATTTGGCCGAACGTAGCTTTAAGAAACATAATTTATTTAGTTTTAATTTACTGTTTTTTCCCCCTTTTTTTTTCGTAATTGTTTTGTAATTCTTTAATAAAGGGATTTGAAAATCATTGACAGATTTTGGTATATGTTGAATTAATATTGGTGTTATATAAAATGTTAAATTGATTTTTTGTTGAATTGCCTTTGATTAAATTGTTTGATTGTTCTTATTATTTATTTTGTTTTTTTAAGATTAATATTGAAATTATCTTTAAAGATATTTAATTTTATAGGGTTAATTGTATTGTTGGCATTAGTTTTAGTAGTTTTTTGTTTGGTATAAAAGAGTGTTTAATTATTGTATTATTATTAACTAGTTTTAAATAGGAATATATTATTATAATATTTATAATAGGGTTTTTAAATATATATATTATTATATATTATGGTTAATAATATAAAATGATATTGAATAATTATAAAAACATATATATTATTATTAATATGTTAAATAATGTTTTAAATAATATTTAAAATTAATTTTAATTTTGTATTTATATTGTTTGAAATATTATAAATATTTTTTGGCATAATAATTTTTAATAATGATAGTTAATTTAATATTGCAATTATATATTTTTTAATATTTAGTTATTAATTATATAAATTAATTTTGTTTTTGGAAAGAAATTCGATGTTTTTAAAAAAAAATTAAATGTGTTTGTTTTATTTAATAAATATATATTAATTTTATATATATATATATATATATTAAATATGAAATTATTAAAAATATAATAATGTTATATTAGTATAAATTATGTTAATAATTTTATTTACTATATTAATATAAAATTAGTAAACATATAATAGTAATGGTATATTAATATAAATTATATTTACAATATTAATTTTAAATTTAAATAATATTATACTATATTTAAATATATTTTTCTAATATATATATTTATAATATATTTTTCTTATAAATTTGTATAGTCGTAAGATTATTTTTTTTGTTTATTCTAACTTTGTTATAGTGGTATTTTGGTTGAATTTTTATCGGAAATGATTGTTTTAATTTTGTTTAATAATATGAATTCTTGCTTGAAATATTGCTGAAATTTTAGAAGATTTGATGGATCTTTGTGTGGAATTTACATAACACACTCTAGATATATTTTGTTAAATTTCCGGAAACTTATAGGGCCTATTTGAATTAAAAATTGTTATGTTGTCTCTTTTTTGTTGTTTTCTCCTCTTTCCTTCCTTTTTTTTCCTTATTTCCCTATTTGATTATTTTTTTCTTTTTTATTGTTTTTCTCTTTCTTTTTTTCTTTCTTTTTCTCCTTATTTTCGTTTTGTTTTTTTTTTTCCTTGTTTTTCATTTTTTATGGTTTTCTTTATGTTTTTTATTTTTCTTTGTTTTTATATATTTTTATGTTTCTTTTATTATTATTATTATTTGTTTTTTGGTTGTTTTTTGTTTTCTGTATTTTGTTTTTTTTGTATGTATGTTTTTTTTGTTGGCGTTTGTGTGTTTTTTTGTCTTTGTAAGGTTTAATGTTAGTTATATTGGAAGTTTGAAGAAATTTGGTTTTTATTGATAATTAATAATAAAATAATAATTTAAACCAAGCTAAAATGAGATTTACTATTCCTATAAATAATATAATCTATACTAAAAGAAATACGATAGATTATGGGTAGGCGAAATATTATTGCCCGATTTTGTTTTGTTATAGTGTTTTCGAATATCTCGATTTAACGATTTAAGTTAAATTACTTATTGTATCATCAAAATACAAAGAATTCGATTTAAGAATTTCATAATATATAAATCGAATTCTAAAAGAATCCTATAATAATTTGTAATGTCTTTATAAAAATCTAATATATATAAAAAAAGAAAAAATAAAAAAAGAATGAGAAAAAGAGAAAACAAGAAGAGCAAAAACAAAAAACACTACTATATATATATATATATAATACAACAATATTAAATAAAACAAAAAACACAAATACATATGTAACAATATCCCATTTCTTTCATAATTTCTAAATGGATTATTCGATTGATTCGATTGTTTGGTTTGAAAGTTAGTTGGAATTTTATAGCTTGATGGCGCCGACATAATTTTGCAAAATAACAATACAATATAATAATATATACAATTACATTTAATATATTTATATTTATTTATTTTTTATTATTATAAGCACTTTAAGTAATGTCTAAATAACATCCAAAAATAATTATAATCTTGTAATTGTATTCGTATCGTTGAGGATACTATATATAATTCCCGGAATAGTATGTTTTAATGATAATATTTGTTTTAACACCCTAATTATATGCTTTTTAGTACCCAATTATTAATCCTATAAATCGGTTTGTCTTCTTGAGGAAAAAAAATGATTTCTTATCCAAAATACAATGGTTAATATATGTTTATATATACTAATAGGATTGTTCGCGCTTGATCTAAATAAAATGTGTCTTTTTAATAGTCTTACCGCTATAGCTGGGACTAGATTTTATGGTCATTTTCCTTACACCTCTAAGCTTTTATTTTATGGCTTGGTGAGATAAAGGAATGATTAATAGAAATCTTTTTTCTCCTTCTTGTCACTTATTCTATTATTTTATTGTTCCATTATAAATTTTTCATAATAGGAACTCTAGAAATTGAATGGAATGAGATAATGGAGTAAAAGGGACTAGTTAGACGAAGAAATGGATTAGACGGTGAGACGAAGAGATGGATGAGCTAACGATTACCTCTAAGACTCTCTTACCTGTTAACCAATTGTTATTCCTATATCTCTTTTCCCCATCTTTTCATGCCTCACAGAGACGATTAAGAGGCGGGATGGATTTAGGATGCTAGAAGATGGCTGATAGCAGATAGGAGATAGGGAGCGGTGAGTGAGTTTGTGGATTAAGGATGTAGGATGTGGTAGTGTGTGAGAGGTGTTGGAGTAAACGGTTTGTCTTAGAGATTTATTATTGGCCGCTGTTAGGTTAGTTCCTACGGCATCGAAAAGCAGGAAAGTGAGGGAGAGAAACGAATGAATGGGATAGTTTCTTGGATGATTTTCCTTGGCAATTAATAGTCAATAATTCTTAGTTATAGATGGTTATTTATTAAAATCCTGAACCATAAACAAAAAACAAAACAAAAATGAATTTTTAAGATTTTAAAATTACAATAAATAATAGAAAAACAGGAAAAAGAGAAAAAATGATGATGGAAACAAAGATAACGAAAAATCCTATTTTTTATTCCTTCTTTCGTTTGGGAATGTTTATGAGAGATAGAATGTTTTTTGGATGCTTCTAAAATTTACGAAGGAAATAAGGAAATCCTAAAAGATAGGAAAATTAACAAAACATAATTAATATAAATTATATTAATATTGTTATTCGATTATTTTATAATTATATTATAATATTAATTATAGATTTAAATAACATTATATAAAGATTATATATATATATAGATATAATAATATGCTAAAATGAAGATATATATATATATATATGTAATAAAAATATATATATAATGTCTTTTTGCTATAAAATCGATGCGGTTTTAATATAGTTATATTTTGGCTAAATTGTCGTGCTAAGGGCGATTGGTTATGCTCGTTGCGATTTTTGTTCCGCAGCGCGAGCTCTTGCATTTTTCGTGAACCGAAAGTCCCTAAAATGTTGCCGAAATTCTAGGAAATTGTTTAATTGTTTGCTTGGAATTTTCGTGATATACCCTAGATATATTTTTTCCCGGATGTTAGATCGTTTTTAATGATTCGTTAATTTCCGGGAAATTATAAAGCCTATTTGAATTCAAATTTATTGTTTTCTTTCTTTCTCTCTTTTTTCTCTCTTTCTTTTTGTTTTTTTTCTTCTTTCCCGCTTTGATTCTTCCCCTTTTTCCTTTTTTTCCCTCTTTCCCTCTTTCTCTCTTTCCTTCTCTTTCTTTTTTTATTTTCGTAGTTTTCTCTTTTTCTTTATTTGTTTTGTTTTTTTCCTTCTTTTTTTATGTTTCTCTGATTTTGTATTTGTGTTTGTATCTTTGTTTTTTTGTTTTTTTGATTCTTTATTGTTTTGTTTGTTTGTGTTTTTGGGTCGGTTTTTTGTTTGTGTGTGTTTTTGTGTTTGTGTTGTTTTTGTGTTTTTGTTTTTGTATATATATGTTTTATTAATTTTTGTTTTTTTGTTGGCGTTCGTGTTTTTTGTTTGTCTTTGTAAGATTTAATGTTAATTGTGTTGGAATTGTATAGATTTTTTTTTTTAATAATTGTATTGGTCGTGATTTTTGATTTAGATTTGTTTTTAGGATGTTTAAAATTATTTGAAGAACTACATTATTATGTATTTATTTATATTTAAGAATTTTGAATTATATATATATATATACTTATTAATTTGATGGATTTTAATTTAAATTTATATTTATTTATTTTTCCAAAACTATTTAAATATATGGGAGGTTATTATAATGGTTGTGATCTTGATCATTAGATTAGTTTTATTTATTTGATTTAATTGAATTATTGGATATAGTTATAATTGTAATTCTTTGTCTTAAATACCATAATTATATTGTGGTTTCGATTGCGTTCGGTTATAATCCCTATGGTATTATGGAAACCTAAATAGACAGAATTCATTTTTTTTAGCATTTATGATATAAATCTAGAGTATGGTATTTTATGGAGGTTTATGAAAAAATTAGGTTTATTTAAGATATTATTATTTTTATATAGTGTATATATATCTGTTTTTGGATTATATTTATAAACTTAATTTATTAATATCCCGAAATTTATATTATTTTTTATTTATTATAATTATATATTATAAACAAATTGTTTTATTAAATAGAATTTATATTATTTATATTAATTATATTATATATAAAATTTTAAGTATTTCTCGATTACTAAAATTATTTATATAATTATTAATATATTTTTATATTTT